CTTTGGGATCAATTTACTTTGTGACTTTAGATTTTTAATAAATTAATTTGGATATGAAGCTGTGTGGAATTTTAGTGTACGGGCAGGGCATGCCTAGCTGCTTGATTGGATTTTCCAGCCATAGGAAGCTAGCTTTTTACTATGAGTTGGTCAACGTCATAGTTGCACCAGTGTAATTCTATGCTTCATTTGACTTGTTTATTAATTGAAGGTAGCAAAGCAACCCTAATAATTGAGATAAGTGATGATGATTTATTGATTATATTTAGTCCAGATTAATCGGCGGTTCTTTGTAGTAGGAGCCAATGAATAAGTACCTAAGTGGCGATACTGAATTTCACACAGTTTAGTTTGTGCAAAGAAAATATTATAAGGGAAATGCAGATTTCATGATTAATTATAGAAAGATAAGTCGATTAAAAAACATTATATGAGATTCAAAATGAAAAAAAAAAACATAGAATATTTTTGGTTTTTAGTTAACTTAATTCGCGTGTAAAATGATTTACACAAGTAAAAAGTAAAGTAGTACATAAGTACCATTTAGCTCATTTTGTTTTTTATTTCTGTGAGGAGCCATTTTTTGTGTATCTAGTATTCTTCCAGTAAGCGGGAGAGCATTTGATAGTATATATAGCTCAATAGCTATGATTCTAAGTGGTTGAAACAGTATCGGAATGGATTGTATTCCGCTAGGAAAATTTTCTTATTGAAAGAAAAAGAGGAAAAATAAAGAACAGAAGAGAATATATGTTTGTTCTAGAGATTTTTAGTATTGTTTAGGAGTAGCTATACTTGCAGTATTCAATGTCTTGCTTTAACTTGACTTTGAGGATTTACCACTCAATGTTTTTATTTATGTTCTTCGTAGGGAGGCTTTAGATATTTCATCATACCATCTTTATCTTGAAAAAATAAAAAATTAAAACTAGAAAATAAAATGTCTGTGACTGCTAGCCAATTATATGCGTTGACAAGTGTGTTTTTGTGTAGCTTTATGGCTAGCATAATTGTTCAAATGGCTTGCTTCTTTTGATTTGTGCTTCTCTTGAATAGCTCCCACCATATGACCTGCTTGAGTTTGTTGATGCATCAGGAGATAAACATTTGTTCAGCTTTAACACTATCGTTTTCATCTAAGAAAGTTTTTTTTTTTTTAATTATTTTTGTGCTTTTGTCTCTTTTGTTAGACATTTTACTCTAAATCATCACGTGCGCCTTCATAGTTTTTCCCCTTTGTTGATCAATCTCGTTGCCACTATACCATAAAAGCGTACTTAGACAACTATAACGATATGTCAGATGTCATGAGTTTGGATGTTTTGTATACAATAAAAACAACAACAAGATCAACCCTTTATCACATTACATGAGATCAGCTATTGTATCATATTAAGAGTCAAATTCTCATTTAAATCTAATTATAACAAATATTAATTTTAATATATTCTAATGAAATCTTTTTAGGTCTACCTTTGCCTTTCTTAACATATGCCAAATTTAAAACACCAACTCTCCAAATTAAGATATATGTATTTTAAATTATAAATTAAGAAATATCATTCTCCAATTTCATCTCAAAACTATCTTAATGTTATTTTGTTATTATTTTCTTCCTGTGATCAAATAATGCTAACTTGGACATCATTCAACAAGAAGAAGGCATCTGAGTCTTCACTGGAGATTGAATTATCTTTATTCCAGGTGACCCTGTCTTCCCCATCGTGTACTGCAATTCATGCCTTATCTAATCTCGTGGATTTATTTAAACTTTAGTAAAAAAATTTTGACATGTTTCTATTGAGGAAAATTTTCAAAGAGGCAGTTGTGCACCCACTAAGGTTTTATTTGGATCAGCTTTCTTACTATTTTTTTAAAGTAATTTTTAATAAAAAAATTAAATTTTTTATATTAAAAAATTGGTTTTCAAAGAAGTATGAAAAACATCCCGAACAAAGCCTAAGTAATTAATGTTCAACACCAAGTCATATATTATAAAAAGATATGATGTTAAATCACTATTTTTTTTTATATTGAATTACTCTTGTATGTAATGTCATATAAACATTCGTTGACAACAAATTTTGAATTATCTAATTTGATTCAGTCTGTCTTATCATAAAAGTATCACTTTCAATAGTTTTGTTTAAAATTCAAAATTGGTTACTATTTTGTTATAAAATACTTCAGATAATAAGATATTAAAAAAAAGAAAAGAAATATATAATCGGAGCCTATGTTAGAACACAAATTTTGACTGAGCCTGAGGGATAGAATTCTAAAAGAAATTTGATGATTGTTCTTTTTTTTTTTGTAAAATTTCATATAAAATCAATGAATTTGTTAGAGTTTGTTTCAAAATATGGTTTATACTCGAGTTTCGATTGAAACTATTGAGATAAACTGAAGCAGATAATATTAACTAATTTTCAATTGGTTTCAACTGAAACCTATTCAAAATTAAATTGCAACTGAACTGAAATAGAAACCACTTAAAAGGAGGCGTGTAGATTTTTTTTTTTTACATTCAAGCCAATTAAAACAAACACACCTCTTAATCGATAGGCAGAACTCCCAATTAACAGATCAAGATCAAAATGAGCTGCGTGTTGATTAGAATGCTAATATTTTGCTTGTGTGAAAGCACAGGTCTTTTTCAAACAAAATAAGGTCTAATCCATAAATATTCTCTTGTACCTTTGGACCAGATTTGATGTCACTTCATTGGTTATTGTCTAGTTAATGCATTATTAATTTCTTCCGTAGATGAAAGCTACTTGCAAGGAATTTTCCTGGGAGAAGACTGACTCGTTGACGGCTAGGAGTCGTTTCATACTTGCCTATTCTTTAAACTACTCATTATTCTTAGGATTTACTTTACTTTTATGATATGTAATAGAGCCATCTAAATAAAATAGATCTCAATTTAAATTATTATATAGATTTTTTTGAAGTGAAGTTTGCTTTTCGTGGTTTTTTTATTTTATTCACCATGACTCCTCTTCCCCCTCGTCAACAGCCATTAAAACAAACGTTGGAGGAATTGCTCACTCTAACTTGACCTTCTCAATTAATGGATTTACACCGTTATCCAGGTACTTACAGAGAGAAATTACTTCCTATATCTTCGTCATTCGAATATCACAAATATTCTTCCTTGCCCACATAAGAGCCACACTAGTTTTGCCTCTATTGTGAAGGAGCGGGTTCCGTTCCACAGTAAATGAGTGCGTGCGTTTTTTCCATTTGGGATTCAAATGGTAGTAAATAAATAAATAAAATTGAGCTGCGCTAGTTATGCTATTGTTTACTTCATGAAGGAGACGACCCTTGTGGCCCAACTGTTAGATTTTTCCACACGTCTGCAGCCTCTTTTGGCGGTTCTTTGCTTTGTCAAGCATTGATTCGAAAAGTTATCGTATAAACTTCAGTACTAGCTTTTGGAGTTGCCAATCCTTCATGACTTTGCACTGATATGGCTTTCCTCTTAGTCTCTTCCTGCTTAATTGTTCTCTTCTTCGTTCTTCCCAAGGAGACCTGCAGTTTCAATCTGACTCAACCATGTCAAAACAATGAAACTTGCTTGCCTTTCTCAACAGCAAATTCAATTGAGCTTTCTTCAGTGGAATATATTGTTAGGTGTAATCATAGTGAATTGGAGATTAGATTTGAAGATGGGAGTTGGCGTACTGTGAAAGAGATTGATTGCATCCAGAAAAAAGTAACAGTCTTAGATCAAGAACTCGGCAATATCTTGGATCCAGTAAATTGCAACTTCCTTTATATGTTCGATCCCCCCTTTCATCACTTTGTTCCTCCACATCCCAATCAGTTTAAGAATCGTACTACTTGCTCTTTCCAAGATCACCAGTATTTCCAAAGTTTCCTTCCAGAATTCTTCAATTTGCTTCCATGCAGAAATTACAGTGCTTATTACTGGAATAGATGGAAGAGCAATTTATCAGATTTTTCTTCTGCTATGTGCGAGGTCAATATTCCACACCCTCCACTTGAGTTTGTGCTGTCATTCAGTGACGGGAACAAACCTCTTTCCCTACTATCTTTTGGGTTTTCAGCTCACTTGAAACTTCTACAACAGTGCTTCAATGATAAAAATTGCAGTAAGTGTTAAACCAACAACTTTATGCTCTTGTACTCTAGATTACTACAAGCTAGTGGCTTTCTCTTGTTGAATGATGCCCCCTATATTTGTAATTATCGTGCTTCCTCAGTCAATGTCACTACATTTCTTTTTTAGGTCATAAGGTTTAGAGACCATTTTCGAAAGCTATGAGTGCTGCGTTGTTTCTGGTTCTTATTATTTTTATTATCTTGTATTTTGATTCATGGTTTTATTTTGTGTGGTTTTCTTTCATTGGTTTGCCTTGAATTCATTTCACTTCTTTGTTCAAGAGGCTGACTTGGCGCACTATTTTATTTAAAATAAGCAAGAACCACCGTTCAACAATTTCCCTAAAGAGAAACTATAAAAAGTCAAA